TACACGTGTATCTTATAGTATTTTTTATTATACCTGCAGTATAATTTAAAAATAGGAAATACAATGAAGTCATATTGACGTTATACTCGAATACATGCCTAATTAAGTGGGCTGGGTGTTCGTAACTTCACGATTTCCATGGAAATGTCACTTGACGTTTGCTTATAAAAATCATCGTCTTTGTGAATTAAACGATTTCCGTTGAAAAAGATAATACACCGTCCATTAAATCGATTGTTGTAAAATCTAAACAAACGTTGGTAGGTGTAAAATCCAACTCCAGTAAAGCCTATTATAAAGAATATGAAAAGTTGTTTCCATGGATGAATAGGAAGTTACTTACGAATACAGTCTTAAATGCATCCATAATGCTGGCATATATGAAGGAAATGTCAAAGGTATTTAAATCTTCTATATTTTGGTGCATTCATTCAACACTTTAAAGCAATGCTGCGATTAAAAAGTGGAACAGATTTGGAAGTATACCCTAAATTACGCGGGTTTGTGAAAGCTTCAACCAAAGGATAGGTACAAAAGCCAAAGAAATGTTCTGCATTTACAGAAAGCGACCTAAGAGGATTTTTTATTTCATCCAGATGACAGTTTCAAAAGTCATACTTGAAGTATCGTTACTTAGCAACTTTAAAGCACGTGTGTTTTAAAGGCCCTTTTTCGCACGCATTTGAGTGTTTAAAACGGAGATTGTGATTCAGGTATAATAAAAAATAAATTTTGGGGGGCCACCTTCACGAGTTTAGCTCCCCTACATTAAAATAATGGAGCGCTATTTATATTTCATTCGTTTTCACTTTGTTTATAAGCACAAATTTTTAATTCCAGTATACTGTACTAAATTGATAGGTAAATAGCAGGACATATTAAAAAGCAGTTAAAAGCTGAACAGGCCCCTCCAATGCCGACCACACAAAATATCTAAGGACGTGATAGTAAGTGTTGTAATATATTGAAGAGATTCCTGTTGATCGACCTCATTATATTTATATACAGGGTGTCCCGCGACTCGATGGACATAGCTTAACACCATATTCCTTGGTACATTTTAAGTCCTTATACACTTTGTCCAAGACTCAATAGTTAAGATGTTATGGCCAATATTAAATTTAACAATAAATCAATCTAGTAGGTCATGTAATTGTTTTGTCATATTGTTATGGCGACATTGTTTATTCTTTGACGTTTTAATTTTAAGATTGAATTGATATGGCCTATTAGGTATTCTTCGATCAGGCTGATGAATGAGGGAATCCTCTCTGACCACCGCTCTTGCATTTTAGCCATAGTACCCGTAAATAAAGTGAATATTCATATATTCTTGATCTGAAAAAGTAGGCATATCAATTTAATCTTAAAAATACAACGTCAAAGAATAGACAATGTCACCATAACAATATGACAAAACAATTACATGGCCTACTTAGATCGATTTATTGTTAAATTTAATATTGCCCGTAACTCCTTAACCACTTAAAATTAACCAATGAGTATGGTGTTAAGCTATATCCATCGAGTCACGGGACTCCCTTGTATATATGATAAGAAATATCCATACAATAAATCTTTATCCCAATATACTCAATATCCCTCCTTAGGTACATTGAATAAAGCTTAATAATGTCCCCAGTTAAACATTCCTTCAGGTTCTGTAGAATATTCTGTACCTTAAGATTCTTTTGTTTCTCTACATTTCTCGGGTCCGTTCTTCGGATCTCCAATCGTCGGATTTGGATTCTTCTGTTCTTCCTGTGTCTTTATAGGTTGCGTAAATGTACATATTTTTCAGATCCTTCGTACCCTACCGTTTCTTTAAATCTCTCAAATTGTTTACATTCCTCGGATTTTTCAGACCCTTCATTCTCGAGTGATTGATCTCAATTTCTTCAAGAATTCAAATACTTCAAACTCTCCAAATATCCGCTTTTTTTGAACCACCACTCTCTTCAGATTCTTCAAAATTATTATTTCAGTTCTTCAGATTCATTACTTTCTTAGGATTTTTGAGATCCTTCTCTAAATCTTCCGCTGGTTAGAATCCTTTCGTTTCCAGTTCCTTCAAATGACAGACTTTTAGGGGAAAAAAGGGTTCACATTCAACTTAAAAAAGATACCTACTTCTTGTGATGTAGAGCATATATCGAAATGTAAAAAAGAATACCGCATTCTGTCGTGGAAACCACAAATTAAATGCATTGGTGTGAATTAACTTACAGTGAATCTCATTTGGAGTCTATGCTCTTGGAGATAATGTTCATCGTAGGAAATCGGAGAGTGGGGATTAATCCTATGGTTAATTTTTCGGATAGACGAACGTACCGGAGAGTTTGGGACGAGGGTATAATAGTATATTATATACCAAGAGACTAAAGTACGTGTTTTAATCCCGGGGTGCGGATTGTGGCCCGAAACGTAGTTGACTTTAGTCCTGTGGTATATACGCTATTATTTGTACTCCGGTAATCAGTTATAGCAATTTCAATGTTAAAGTACAAATTTGAAAGAAAAGACTTGTTCTCGTTCAAAACTACGACGTAGAAAAGATCGTTTAAAACTCTGCGGAACATGCTGTAAGGAAATGACTGCCTAAATTAAAAAAGATATATGGAAAACCATCTAAAATGAGTGTAAAATGTGGTGAAAGAACCAAAATGCACATATAAAGGTAACCATTAATCATTAAATTGTGTTTAACAATTCAGTGTTCACTGTCACTTTTTGTCCCGCGTAGCGTTTTTCTCTCTTTTAGGTTTTTGAAATTTGCATAGAAATTTTTAAAATAGAATCAGTTTCCTTTCTCCTCGTTCGACCTACAGTACAGTCAGATTGTAGCCGCAAAAATACTAAAAAGGGACCAATAGCTGGACGTTTCGTAGGCTATAAGGGCTTTGAGTGCACTAAATCCAAAGTTGGCAACGGAACTCGGGTGCGGGTGAAGAGCGTGAGGTTAGCTCAAAGGATTCTGTTTTTACTATGATTTCAAGTAGGAAACCTTATCCATAAAAAGGCCTAACAATTGAAAAATGGTAGGCCAAGTTAAGTTTAAATAAGAAAATTATTATTATCCGCAATTTAATTCAAATCGGTGATTCTGTAATTGCACTGTCGTGCCATCCGCTATTCAAAATAATCTTTATTGCTTGTATTCTAAAAAAAAACAATATTTGCTCAATATAGACACTGAGGTCAAGCATTTATTTTGTTAAGGAATTATTGGACTCCCAATTTTTCCCTTTTTCAATATACAGTCTACAATATACAATCTACGAACGGGACCGGGTTCAAGGTTTTTCTGCAAAAGAATGTCGAGCTAAGACATATTGTACTTCGAAATGCAGGGGAGGCACTTGGAGCATACTACATTACCCACCATATAGTGCTAAAAGCGGAAAGCTTCACCACAATATTACGTGTTGTGTTTGACGCCTCAGCGACTACCATGAAAAAGCGAGAACGTAATGATGCTAACTGGTCCAAAATTACAAGAAGATTTGTGCGGAAAGAAAACCTCCTGGTTAGCGGTAAAATCTACGGAACTATATAGACTACTAGGAAGCAAAACACAAGATAATCAAACAAGCTAGGCAAAGCTGAGGCATCAGCATTTCCTGCTTACTAACGTAATTGAGATATGTTAAGGAAGTAATATCTGTGATATAATTTACAATCCTAATGCTAGAAATACGTTTCAAAAATAAAAGATGCATTGGATTAATTCTTTGAGTTAACACAAGTTTTAAAAAAAATAATTGTTGATTTATATGAAAATGGAATAGTTCTTTAAAATCAATTTATTGGCAATCTTTGGATTTTCTAATTTTTTATAGGTCGCTCGCAAGTACCAGAACCACAGTTAACCTTACAATATTTCCTGTAGTTTTAGGCACTGGCCGATGGGTCATGCCTTGTAAAACATCCACGTGTAAAGAAATGACATTCGCTATGCAAAAAACAAATCGGATGTTCTAAAAAAACACCGGATCGTTTGAATTTCAGGCGTATGATTCTAGTGTTTTCTAATTTTCTTAGTTAATTTTACTGTCGTTACCAACTTTAAACATTTTTTGTTTTGTGGCAAATTTAAACTGTCCGCACTACTTTACGATCACTCGATATATGTATGAATGTATGTCAACGTGTTATCGAATTGTACACCTGCACCCCTACCAAGTTTCTGTTGTTCAGCAGTTACACGCTCCTTACTATAGTAGAAGAAGAAATGGTTTACCAACAACCTAAATGATGATATTTTAAAATTAACGTTTATGAGCGACGAAAGTGTCGATAGTGGGGAAGTGAAAAGGCACATAAATTTTAAGGAGACTAATTTTCATTCTAAAAGTTAGCAGTTGTCTCAAAAACGCAGTTAGTCCCATTTTTTTCAATTCTTCAAATACTCATCAGCGTCACGATGACGAGTTGAGGAAAAGAGTTTGTCAACAGGATGTTGCATTTTACAGATTTAACTTCATTAGATTTTTTCCCTGTTTTCTACGTTAAAGAACAACATCTTTCAAAATAGTCCCCACTTGAACTTCGATAATTACTCACCGAAGAACTTTGTGGGATATCCTGAACAAGTGTTCGATAATATTAAGCGCTGAGTAGAATAATCATTGCCATACTCAAATATGTAACTAATGCTTGGAAATGGCACTGGTACTTGCCACATTGTAAATTACATGCATGTCAAATACGCCCCAGCAATTAATTAATCATCAGTCTTTTTGGAACACCCGGTATTGTTCACAAAAGTAATTATTTTCTCCGGCAATTTTCAATTGGACGGTAACGTCATTGACTATATCGAATGAAAGGGATAGTTTAAATATGAAGTGAACATTTCGGAAATAAAATTGCTATACGCATATCTTTCGAGCGAAAGTATCTGTATATATATTACAGGGGTTCTTCCCCAGTTTCACACGACTGACTCTGATTGCGTCCGGCGAAATGAACTTTCTGTATGCACATCATTCCACCGTCATATTTCGAATGCGATATCATTGTTCTCGGTTACCAAGCGCGTTCGTGCGTAATAAAAATGACGTCTTTGTTAAAATTGCGTTTCGCAGACTTACTTTTTCTGTTAAAATTAAATCGACTGCGTAGGGGCAGATACATCCAGCTATACTACCGATTCCATTCGATAAACCCATTAATATACTAGCGTACTTTGGTGCTATATCTAAGTGATTGACGTTGTATCCGGATATGGCGAATCCGCTGAAGGCCACGCCACAGCTTAGAGCTATAACGGCAGCCGTTGATGATGTGGCATAGGCAACAACTAGGAAGAACGTCGCTTCCATTCCGAAACCTCCACAGTTGAACAGCTTCCTCACTTGCGTTGTTGTTAGTATTTCTCGTTTTCTTAAATAATCCGCCAAAACTCCTCCGGTGGGTACAATTATGGTCATCAGCAGATGAGGAAATGCGCCCAAAAATGCATTCTGAAACACAATCTGGCTTAATACCTCCTTGCAGGTTTTTCAGAACCAACCTTTTCAATATCCATCTCCCACCTCGATGTAAAGTAAAGCGCTTGGAATAACACTAAAAGGTAAAAGTTGTACGATCGGCAAAAATTTGCTACAAAAATTGCATAAACGGGCATGGAAGTAAAAAAGGCTTTCCACGGTGTATTCGTAATGCTCGGTATCGTATGAGATTGAGCGGCGCCGCCTAACGAGTTTTCTATGTACATAAGTTCTCGTGCTTCAATCGTAGGATGCTTGCAGGGTTTTTCGAAGACCAACCATAACCACGATAGGTACCACAAGATACCAACGCTCCCATAAAAGTAAAAGGGCGAATGCCAACCTATACGTTTTATGAGTTCGCCGGTAATGGGCATTGAGAACATTAAACCAGCGTAGCAACCGCAAAACGCCAAGGTAGCCAAGCGGGAACGTTCCAGCGGCGGCGCCCAGTAACGCCAGATACCGTGGCACGCTGGATAGGTCACGCCCTGCAACGCAAACGTAGTGCCATCTTTGAAAATCGACGATGCTTACCTCTACCAGACCTTGCATAACCCTAATGGTAATTGCAAGTCCGGGATTTTGAAGTTCCATAGCGCTGGGTACAAAGAAGTGTAGTAAGGAAGAGCATCCGATTGCGGCACCAAATAATCGATTAGGTGGATATCTTGCAGCTAAAAAACCGCCGGGTATTTGCGTTATAAAGTAACCCCAGAATATCGACGCGTCCACTGCGGAGCTGGTGGTGACCGACCATTTCATTTTAGCTTTCTAAAAGAATAAAAACGCAGTCATCGTTAACGATAGGAAAAAATATATCTTTCGGTATTGTTACGAGCCAGCTTGAATCGAGTCACCCTTTTAGAGAGCCGGGGCACTTCCGTTTCCGCAGCGAGGGTGCAATCCGTCAAACTAGCGCCAATCGTTCAATATTGCTCGAATTTTACTAACCCCTTCTTCCATCTTAACCTTTGCCATGCCCATGTTGCACCTCATTCCGAACATGATGATGAAACCCATACAGGTGAGAACGGCGACGGTTACCCTTTTGCTGAGACACGGGCATTCGGGTCTGATGTACTTGTCGATGTGGCGAAGAGGTGGACGTTCAGGTTCGGGGAGACTGTCCGGCGAGCTCGGGTAGTCACCCCCTTCGTCCATGCTGCTCTTTTGTTTTTGCAGGCCGAATTCTTCATATCGAACGTTCCTATAAGAACAGAAAAGGCATTACTACAATTTCCCCGCGACAAATTTCTGAACAAAACACGCCGTAATGTAGTCGCCTAAAACGTTTTATGATAAATGTACCCTAAAAGACTTGTGTAATACATTTTAACGCCGGCTTTCATGGCGTGTAATGACTAGGTCGACGCGATGTGGGGCCGCATGCATGTTAATGTATTTCCCCATCATCATCACCAGAAAGCTTGCAAGAGAGATGGACGATAAAATCGAATTGCCACCCATTAATAATTGTCTCGTGACAATTTGACGAATGCCGCGAGTAAAACCCCCTTTTTGTAGCAAACAACCCCCCGACGTAAATGCTACTATCCAATAAATATAATCAGATTAAACATAAATCCTTGCTTTTCCATTAAGGCTAATGCGTGTATCAGTTTTTTTCGTAGTGACATCACGAAATGTTTCCCATTCGTACACAATTTGTCGTAAAATAGAAATATAAGTAGCAAATACCGAATACGTGACCAAACAGCGACAAAGCTTCTTACGTTTAATCCTTGAGCAATTCTACAAGGATCAAAACCTGCACTGCATTGGCATTCCTTTAAATGGGCGAAATTTCGATACGTTAAGAGAAATTGATGTCATCGGCAGAAATTATCACGTCTTTCTTAATATCATAGAACAATGGGAGCTGGAATGAGGGGCGGCTCGTCTCCAAGGCTCACGGTGGAATTAAACCGTAACGCTCTCCTTACAGCGAAAATGGAACCGGCCTTTTAGGCTTGCACAACCGGTTGCGTCTACTATTACCTCAAATTATAGGGATAACAAGCTAAAAAGATAGGTATTGGCACGAGCCACCCCTGCCGTATCCTAGGAGAGCGTGGCGTCTCAAGTCGAAGCAATATCACAGTCCACTCAACGTCACTTCCCGGCCTGCTCCTTATTCATGAGCTAAACGCTTCACAATCAAAACGTAATATCGCTATCTTTGAACGGGGGCGTTCGCGAGATCAATAACACACATTGAACAAATTAATTTAAAATGTTCTAGAGTTCTTCTGGCACAACGCCCAGAAATATTAAACTGATACTGGTCCACCGATATAATTGAATTCATGATCCATTTGGAATTGAAGAAAAAAGTGCACCCGCAATCTGTGGCATTTTCAATAAGAAATTGAACAGTGCATTTGCATACAACTTGCATGCCTTCGCGTAGTAGACAAAAACGCCGCGTCAAAAAAGTTGTGTTCAATAAAGAAATTCTTTGACGTAAATAAATATTGTCTCAAAGAATGCGCCTATGGCAGACGCCCACGTAATTTCAGCTCATTAACCATTCTTTGTGCGCTCAAAGTGCGTGTTACGAAAACAAAAAAGTTGAATGCATATAAGGGTGTTCCTAAATATATCTCCTGCAGTTTTTGAGATATGTTGCACAACTTTGAAATATGAGTTAGGTACGCTAAAGGGCTTACATCATTGTTCATATCATACATGCATTTTCTAGCCTTGAATATTTTTCGGTGCGCCACTAGTAGTTGTGAACTCGGTTGTGAAACAAGAACCGTTGGCATTGAAAATGGTACCTTGTGTTTGCATAGGTTTATAAATTAAAGTTTTAAATTGGTACAGTGTACGGACTATAGCGCCTTGTAGATTATATGAACTTTTAGCCATAAAATAAACGATGAATTAGGTCCTTCCGTATTTCCATCACATTTAGGAACACCCTGTATAACGGATGCGTACTGGAAATGACTCTAAATAGTCTAAATCATCTGCCATTTTAGGTAAACATGATGGTTTTCGCTTCTTATTACATCATTTCCTCGAGAAATGCCCAATTCTATTTTTCCTCGTTTTACAAGATCACTCTGCATACGCTGTTTTTACCTAAGATGGGAGGAATGTAGCTCTAAACACCAATTTACATATATTGTAATATTAGGCATGATAAATTCGCCTCGCTTCTCGAGGTTTGCCCCGAAATATTTGCCATAGAATTAATTTTCCGGAAGGTTGACCATCGAAAATATTCGTTCTAGAAAAATTTGACTCACAGCCTTATAGTATTTTCTTCCAAAAGAAGTCGTCTTTGAAATCGTGATATCGCTTGTACATTTATCTTTATGCCTAGGCATACAATATTACTCATCGATCGTAGAGATGTTCGATGAGAGAGCGAATTTTCCTGGTAGCCGAATAAGTAGGGACACCACGATATTGGGAATTTTGGAAATCCCATTTAGTCACAAAAGTAGAAGGGTGTGTAGACAGCAATTGCCCTCAGAGCGAGTTTCTTTAAGTTCAATTATTCGCGGGTCGCGCTTTTCTGAAGGCGAATATTTTCCAGCCTAGATTCTTAATTCTCAATACACGGCAGGAAAACATAAGGAAAAAAAATAGCGCTATCCGTACATAAATAAAATTAGAAGCCGTGTAACTAAATTAACATAAAATAAAATTAAAGCAAGTAGCTATTGAAGTAAATTTTTAACCTAAACGAACTCAAGCTCAGCAACAAAAGAAGATAAATAATGCTCACGTCCATAAAATATTTAACTATTTAACTAATTTAATATTGTACACTGTTAAATGATGCAAAAAAACAAAAAAAAAGGTACTTCTTACATAAATGCAATATGTAACTATTTTTTTTGTGAAAAAACCTCGACTGTGGCTAACCTTGTAGTTACTTTCAAGGCCTGTCGTTCCAATGAATTTTTGAGGCTGAAGTGAAGATCTGACGAATTACCAAGAAGCTGGCTGCTAATTAGTGAAGACGAACTATCACGATGCTGACTTCTAATTGGTTTAGAGTGAAGACGGAGCTGGTACGTACCTAATTTCTTTTTTTTTTATTAATAATTTCTTCCAGGGTTCCAAAATCCAGTAAAAACACTAAAATGTTTTGATTTAGATAATTATATATCCTTTTAATTAAACTTGCGGTACTAAAGACCTTTTTTTTCAAATCAATCAAACTTCCTATCGGTATAAATTCAATTGTTGTAACGTAACCAATTTTGAAAACGTGTACACTATCCGCTCAAGGCGTACGATTACAAGTGGATGTCCGATTTTGATAATACATTTTGGTAATATTTTAAACATTTAAGTTTAGCCAGCCTGATTCATGCAGTTACATCTAACAGTGCGCGTCATAACGCTACAATCGTCCAAGTAGATCATACACATTTCTGGTGATAGGCTGGATAATGTTGCGCTCATGAATCTCTTGAAAGTTGTAGGTGCGTTTAGAATGCAAAATGGCGTCTTGTTGTATTGATAACGGTTACCCATAGTATAAGAAAATTTTTTTCTGGGTCGATCTGAGACAATTTTTTTTTAGCCTCAAAAAAAGGCAGTGTAACCTTCCTTTTTTACCAAAAATCGACTACACCAAAATTTCTCGCGAAAACACTTTTTCTTATTAATTTTGGTGCGTAGAATCCAAAACAATTCGTACTTTTTCGATTAGACTTCTCAATCAAAAGTTATAGACTAGAAACCAATTTCCAAAGAAAATTCAAAGGGCTGTAACTTTTGAACTAGTAGCCCAATCTTGGAACTGTTTGAAATTATGGATTCTACAGGCCACATTCTATAAGAAATTTTTTTTCCGGATCGATCTGAGACAATTTTTTTTTCGGGCCTCAAAAAAAGGCAGTGTATAAACCTTCCTTTTTTACCAAAAATCGACTGCACCAAAATTTCTCGGGAAAACACTTTTTCTTATTAATTTTGGTGCGTAGAATCCAAATCAATTCGTACTTTTTTGATCAGACTTCTCAATCAAAAGTTATAGACTAGAAACCAATTTCGAAAGAAAATTCAAAGGGCTGTAACTTTTGGACTAGTAGCCCAATCTTGGAACTGTTTCAAATTATGGATTCTACGGTTTTTCGTGTACTTAAGAGAAATATGCGCAATTGTTTAATCAAAAACGATAAAGAAAATTGCCACTTTTCCCGTTAGCAGCACTTTCCCCCAAATGAAATGTCACATGAGTTTTTTAAAACTTTATTCTTTACCAAAAAAATTAAACTATTTAGAAAATGTAAGAGTCGGTGACTACTGCGACATAAGAAGCAATAAGCTTCTTATATTTACTTATATCAACGTCTTGTCGTCTTCATGAATTGATTTATTGTTAGAAGGCCTTTGATCATGGAGTACATCGGCCAAAACGTTGACGCTTTTTTCGACTACAAATAAGGCAAATGTAGATTGTAATTGTTTGGGCAAAAGGTACGTATACCTTAACATAAAAGTAGGTATGCAAACAAAACTTCCTCGTTGGCTCGTTTTCGAAACGTGTTTCATATTTCCCCTTGGATTTTAAAGGTACTACATTTTCAATTGCCTCTTTGGCTTTGCCAGAAATTTCAGAAATTTTGTCGCTTCGTTTGAACTTTTTGCGCCACGGTTTCACAGCTTGTTTAATTGGTTATTATGGACCAACCGTTGTTATGGTACCTAATTATATTACATATAATTCCGGGTAAAATGATTATATTTTCAAATAAAAGTAACAATTTTAAACTAAACTTGGTCGATCAAAAATCTGATTAAGCGATTAATATCTTTTAAATCCGTAAAAAAAGAGAAGTGGTTTTCCAGCTCGTCAAAATTGCATTGCAACTATCACTCACTGGAAAATTGGCACTCTTCTTTACTTGTAGAACAATCTAGCTACTATTTTTCAATTAAATCTGGCGGTATGCGTTTGTAACGTCTAAGGTTGTAAACAAATTTGAACATCCTAAATAATCCAATGATTCCGTGTTATCGGGATGATTTCCTTTTTTCTAATCTTGTTCAACTCCCTGTCGTCAATTTCACTACACAATCGATCGCTTGTATTTGTTATGTATTTAGATTTGAGTTAATTTTGATGGGTGCTGGTGAGGTTTATAACTGTTGTTGATGGTTCAAACAACAAACAATGCGATACTATATTTTTTAAAGTTGCACTTCTAGTAGTATTTTCATCATCTATTTTTTTCTGGAGGCTTTAAATTGCCCAGAGATTTACGAATATTCAATTTCAAATTTACGTTGAGACTTTTTTAACTTCGCTTGTCGACGATTTTATCTAAAAAATATACAAACCTTAATTTTACATAAATAAAATAATGGTAGGTACCTCATAAAGGAATGTCCTCCCGTTCGAACTTTAAAAAAATTTGAAAAAAAATTATTTCCACATTTAAAGCTATAGGTATAAGTGCAATTTGTGTTACTTCCTACTACAGTCATTTCAAAACTCTATATGCAGGAGAGATGAGTTTCCCTTTTTTCTGCAAATATAAATATTTGCTTTTATGCATTAGAGTTACGAGAGTAATTTTCTGATAAGCGTTACACTAATTCTAACTAACAAATAATGATTTCTGGAGTTCGGCTGACGAAATCTGAAATCGTATAAGAATTTTGGAAATGTTTTTTTTCGAGTTACCCTTACCCCAACTTTTTTAATTTTTGGGTAAAGTCATTTTAGCGGAGGGTGGATACGTTTTTGTACGAATTGAATTTCACCATCTCTTTTATTATTCAAAACCGAGCGGTTTTATTCCATTTCTCCATCTAGCAATTCCAAAACAGAAAATATAAATCTAATTAGGGTGTAAGACTGAAAATTGCGTTATAAAAACGTGTTTAATTGTCACCCTTCTTTAGTTTCGCAAGTTTTTCCTCATTTAAAATTCAAAACGCGATACCCGCCCTAACACTCCACACTAAGATAAAGGTCTACTTCTTCGAACGTTACGCGGTGGTATAATTTTTATTTGTGAAGTCTTATATGAGGTGACAAAGGAAAGCATATATTGGAATATTTTCCAGTATAGAAATATGGCGAAATCCGTTTTGTACGTGCACTTACTACCAACTTCTGGATTACGTAAGGAATGAATTCAATCTTTAACTCGATGTCTCGAATAAACAAATGAAACAATTTCCTTATAGCGGCAGTTAATCTCAATTTGGGGATTAGACGCGGTTTAATTAGGTTCTTCACTTCTTTTTCAGCCACCTGAGGTTTCTGGCATTTAGAAAATCCCCTCAATTCAACAGGTTGAATCCACAGTGTGTTGTATTTATTATTTAGTTCCCTAACCTAATCGAAAATTCACCTGTTACACGAACGAGCCCTAATATTACCCTGTTTATTTTCGGTTTTGAAATGAGTGTCGCTTACAAATTTAATTACTTACATTGGTAACCCCATTCAGCGAAAGCACGCACTTAAACACCAGGAAAAAATTCGGTAGTTCCGGCAATCTTGGAGGTGGCTTAACAACCCCGAGTTTCACACTGACTGGATGTCTGCGTACAACACGCAGTCACGCGCTACCGCATTTTTCCACCATCTACTACTGAACCGATATTTTATATAGTTTCCGTGTTGCTATTTTTGAACCTTTCTTGCACTAATGGCCTTCATTTAAAAAAGTGGTGTGTGACGGATACGCCGAGGGATGTGATTACGCATCACATTCAGAAATAAATTAAACTGAACTGATTGGAAAACTGAGAAGAGATTAATTCAGTCAAGCTTGAATGGGTGTTTAAATATAAAGGAGCACGGTAATATGTGATACAATTGCACCAATTTCCATTTTTAATTATCTTCGAGGGGGTGATAATTGAAACCGTAGATGTTAAAGGCGATGAGAGGAAATGGATTTAGAAAGAAGGGAGCTCTTATCTAGAAGATTTCAGCTTTCTGGCGTAACTAACCCGTAACAGAGTTCGATGCTGTCTGTCACTCTAAGAATTAACTTCCAAAAAGTAATTTTTGACCCTAGCTCACATAAACCCCGCGACACGTATATATAAACAAAAAAGAATTTCGTTCCGGACCCCACAACTTTTACATCCCAAATTGCATCATACATATTTGTTAGAGTTAGAAGGGGTGGAAACAGTAAAAGAAACGTTTGGCAAAGCAGAGTGCTTTAAAGTGATTGTAGCTTTGAAAGCCACGCTCTTTCCTTGTACGCCAGTAATACACTGCATCCAATTTCAATTCGATGCAAATTGTGGGACGCACGGTCTAGCGAAGTAAAATTCATAGCCCGAAAAAATGGGAATGATCGAAACGATATGGCCTCATATTAGATTGAACTGCATAACAAGGTTTGTGGGGGGGAGGTGGCCGGGTTATTCGATTTCTGCATTAAATGCAATCAACTGCTCTGTCCGATGGAGGGTAGACTGATCTAATTCAATCAGCCGTTTTTGATGGACGCGGACCTTTTCCTTCGATTTTTTTTTTCGGTTTCTAGGTCGTACGCCGTCGATTGCAATTTTAACAAATTACGACGAGAGCGTGCCGGTATAGTAATAACTGTAATAAAACATTTGGTAACAACCGCTTTCGTGCAAGGGATCAACTCCCCTGCTAATATTTGATATGAAGTGCGATTTAAAGGGGGGTTGTTATTTAAAACTGTAACGTCATCATTAAATCTTCCTCGTACAAATTTACTGTGTACAATGTAATGAGAATATCCTTTGTAACGTTAAGCGAGTTTATTATTTTCTATCTAAAAGTAACACAGAACCAAGGATCAATTATTAAAGAAATGTTATATTAATATTAATCGCATTTAACTGCAATAAAGAATCTGCACTTTCTAAGGTACTCTAGGCAGATAGTTCATTATAAGTATGCGATTCCGCATAGGTAAAATGATGGAGCCTAGAGTCCCAGAGGGATCAGCGATTTAAAGGTATCTGTAGTTAAATAGAATAGAAATAGGATAAAATATATCCTTTTAACAAGTTAGTAATGCATTTCTTTACAAAAAAGGAGTACGTAGATGTTTGCGAAAGGATTTGTCGGTGACCAACAAAAAGATCAGGATGCTATGACGTTGCTTACTCATCAAAAGAAAAAATTTTTTCTCGAAATCGTCATGAAACCATAATTTTCATGGGTACAATATGTCAGGAAATTTTACTTTCCCTGACAGTGACAGTACCTGACTACTTTTCCTGCCGCTTGCCACATTGTTCATGTATAATGACTCCTGTCCATCGTTGAAACGTCGGTATTATATAAAAAGTTCTATATGAAAAATGAAATTTTATATTAAAAAAGACGATTTCGGAAAAAGTGTAATACAAAACTGCTTCACTCGGAAATTAAAGTACTCCAAGTTCATCTGGCTCAAGCGCGTAGGTAAAGGGGGGGGCAAAGGGTTCAAACCCTCCTCATACAGAGCCGGGGTAGTTTTCTCAGCACGTTGATTTCCGGCCACCACAGCAACAGAGATTCACAAGATCGAGCTAAGATTCGAGAATGGTTCAATCACCATTGTCCATATATTTCAAAAGTTGAATTCCCTCAGTCGCCGTTAACGGGCATCCTAGAAATTCCCACGTAACTCCCAACAGACAAAGTTTCATTGGAAAGATTTAAATTGGCTGTTTTGATTCAAAAAATGGTCAATTTATTTTTTAACAAAGTAGTCTGTGAAAAGCTATAATGCTCGATCACCTTCAATTCTTAATTCGACGTTCTTGATATTGTTATTTATTTGTTACTGAGTTTTGTTATCCACCAAACAGAAGTTTTATTTTTTATTCCTACTACATATAAGTTTATGTATTTAAATGATATTTCACTAAAAGGATAGATATGGCCAAATGAATCATGACAAAATACACAACAATTACCTATAGTCTAATGAAGAGCTGTTGCTGTCTTAAATATCGAATATGACTTTTTTGCTCGCTCGCTCGAACCAGATGCAAAAAATTAAAAAAATATTTTCAATACAACGTTTCGTTTCGGAGAAATCATCATCAACTTGATTTTTTTATATGGCCCGCAAGAAAAAGTGCACATGGTATTCAATTACGAATGCAAAACGGGCGTACACAAAAAATAAAAGTTGGAAACTGTTGGTTTCAACAGAATGGTGCACCAGTGCACAACGTCCTAATTGTGCGAAAATATCTATCGGACCAATTTCCCGGAAAATAAAAAATGTGCCCGGTAGGTATTTTTGATCGACTAGGGCGTTGTGCGAATTTTGGTTTTTCTGGCATCTTTGGAAGTAATCGGATTTTGTTGGTTTGCTTTAAAGCGTGCTAATAACTCTTTAATTGCGCATTTCCCCTCTAATTTAACCATGGTCGTATCTTCTATGCTTTCGGAGATCCCCATGATAGACAGCCTTATCTTGGACACAGTAAGCTATAAATTTCAAACGAGTGAGGAAAAAAATGGAAAAATTTGCGGATCAATGAAGGGTCATAAAAACTGCATTTTAGTTTGGTTTAAAACTTACGTACGTACACTGGGGAGTTTTTTTAGTGGGTGATATATATTCTTATATTGCAACACTGACCGAGTTTCGCCTCAATTAAAGGTAATTAAAAAAGAAACACATTCCCGATCACACTACTCCTTTTTTTCTTTTGGGGGTTTCTAAAAAATAGAGCGTATGCCATAATTCCATAAACAAAAATCCGATGCAACTGAATATCGAACGATCTTCGAGATCTTCACACATCCGTCATTTGGTATGGTTGGAAAGCATTTTTTCAGAGCTTTCCAACGACATATCGCACATGGGGGGGTCACTATTTAAGATTTAAAAGTTGGGGTGGCTGGGGCGCAGGGGGTTGGAGGGGGTGCGTCGCCAACTATGTCATTGTGATTCCCCCTCCGAATTACCGAAACGGATTTTGATTTTTTTAAATATCTCGTTTATTTACTAAGATATGGGGGGTGGTAAGTTTTCAAATTGTCACCCTGTATACAAAATGTTATTTAAACATCTTAACATATAAAAAAATCGACATGCACAAAATAAATTTTGTGATTCGATATTAGTTTTACTTTTATTCGAGGGTATTGCGCAAATAGAAAGTTGGGTTGCAATGCGTGATTTTTTATCTACATAGTTGCTTGAGGTTTAAGGAATATTTAATAACACAGAAAACACAAACATTCATATGTTCTTTGTAACAAGAATTATAAAAGAAGCCCTTTTTTTAGGTTTAAACCGTTTTTAGGCTGTAACTTTTTGACCCGTTAGTCTACGTAGCCAAAAAACAATAGCGACCTTTCTTATATCCTGAAGAACATGTGTATCAAAGCGCTCGGACGTTTCTAGACAAAGTTATCGTGCACATGGACGGATAGACGGACAGGCAGGCAGACAGCAATACAAAATTATAAACGATCGCGAGGATCGTTAATAAATAACTTGTAAAATCGGATACTTGAAGAAACCACCAATATTACTAGCGATATGGTCTAACTAAAGGGTGCAAAATTCCATTTATGAGCGTTTGGGTTATTGGGAAATCGAGGACGTTCGGCAACTTGGAAATTTAAAACATCTGGTTTTTAATTACCTTTAAAATAAGGTGAAAGGACAGGGGATGTAATTTAATAATAATTGGGGTTGTTACCTCCTAAACAAAGGCGTATGAAAGTTTTAAACTATCTAAAAATGTAGTGGTTATGGCCGTTTATTGATCTCCAAATTTTCAGGTTCTTTTCTTTATTCATTTGAAACCTATAACTTCGTCTAGGGATATTTGGGAAACACTGTATAAATCAACGTGCAGTACACCACGAATTATAGGATGGAAACTCAAAATAAATTATTAAGTAAATATTAAGTAATGTTGGCAATAATTTAACAGACTTGAGTGGGTTTTTTTTTTCTTTTATTGTGTCTAAAGGATTATAATTTCCTATTACAAGGGTACAAACGTGCTAAAACAGTGCATAATACTTTAACGAAAACAATTTAACAAAAAAAAAATAAAAATATTAAGATAATTATGAGACATGAGAGAAAAAAAAAGTTGAATCATTGTGGTTTTACAAATTATATAAAAAAAAATTTACTCATTTAATAGGAATGATCGCGCTCTCAACATAGAGGTGACAAAACCACCCATCGAAAAGAGTATGTTATATGAGTCCTACTCCAGAGCATTGGCCAGCTCAACCAGGGAGTTTATCTCTCCTAGGTAGCTTGAACGAATATGACTGTAGAATGGGCATTGAAAAAATAAGTGTTCTATAGTTTCACGTTGGTTAAGGTTACATATTGAGCAGATTTCCTCCTGGCTGATTTTATGTATGTTATGTGGGTTTATACAGTCAAAGTTTTCCGCTATTATACTAAATCCATCTATGAAACTGCACATGAAATCCTCTACTGTTTCCTGCTACAGGATGTCTAAGCTTGTACTTAGGGGATCTAATAG